AGCTCTCCGCTCTTTTAACCCTACTGGCCCCATTGTACAGAACATTTTACAGAAGCTTACCGGTCTTGGCCGAGAGGGAAAACGTGTGCGGCTCTGCTGGATCCCGAGCCACGTAGGCATCCAAGGTAACGAGACTGCCGACTTGGCGGCTAGGACGAGGACGAGGACTGGCGGCGAGCTAAGGACTTTTTCCCTACTTCTCGCACAGCAAATGGCAAAGCAGGTGGGATGGCTGCTTGGGCAACAAGCTTCTCTCTCTCTCAAGCCCACACTAGCACCGTGGGCCTCCGCCATGCGCCAAAACAGGTCCTGTGCAGGCTGAGGACTGGGCACACGTACGGCACCCACGGCTTTCTCGTCTGTGGAGGAGACAGACCTACGTGTCCTAGATGCACTGTCCCCCTATCGGTGAGGCATGTTCTACTGGACTGTCCTCAGCTAAATCGTGAAAGGGAAGCGCACTTCGGGGCTACACATCAGCTGACCATCCAAAACCTGCTGGGTAACGACTCGCACCTCCTAGACAGGGAAGCCCTCTTTGCGTTCGTCAAAACCTCTGGACTCCGAGTAGTCTACTCTCACCAAGTCTCGTAGAACTCTTTCCTTACCGGAACTCCTGCCTCGCTGTCCTGCGAGGGTTTGCTTTTATCTTCGAACACGATAGTTTCTTAATCCAGACCTAGTATGTTGGACGTTAACCCGAGCAATGCTTCTTGAGGGACTGTTGTCCCGTTCTTACCTCATTTTACTCGTCCTTTGAGAGAAAACTGCACATTGCCCACCATTGTTCAGCACGCCCACCTGCGCTTTAAGACTGTTGTTAACTCTTTGTTCAGTTCTTGCCCCGCACCTCACGCAAGAAGATAAGTTACTGGCGTCATATAACCCTCAGAGGTTGGGCACACATGCGGAACTTTATATACCGTGGCGGTTGTAGCTACAACCCCAATTTTTAAAAGTACAACCCCAATGGCAAAACTACAACCCCAACATTGGAAAATTAAGAATTAGCCTGAAACACATGAAAATGAACAAAATATGTATCCCTTCAGAAGTAGATAATTGAGATATATCAAGAAAGTGAAGATATCAATAAATTAGGACATCTTTTTGAATTCCAGATGATAAAAACATTGAAAGTGCTCTGTTAAGAACATGAACATATTATTCCGCTGAGACAGTGAGCAGAGCATGATATGAAAGTCAATCACTTCACACTTCTTAAGCATACTAAGTGAATCATATTGAAAAAGTTCCAAAAAATCTTAACATGTAACATGAAAGTGTGAAGCAAAAGAAATCATAACATTCATCATACTTTTGCAGTGGCGAATCCAGCTCAGAGTTTGGGGGGGGGGGGGCAAACCATAACAATTTATCGATTCTTTCCATGCCTCGTCCATAGGCGTAATATTAAAATTATGCCGTTTGGGAGGGGCAAATGCCCATTTTGCCCCCCCCCCTGAATCCTGATCCGCCACTGTACTTTTGGGTTTTCTCACTAAATATTTCATACCTGTGGGCTGTGCTTATCAAAGAGATAAGCATATAGATGAAAAGTTTGACACAAAACAGTAAGCTTCAGAAATAAGTTAACCTAACCTAAGCCTCCACCCTATGTAGCATTCAATCACCAATCATAATATCAAATACATTTTTTAAGTGAAATATCACTCTGTTCGCAATTTTGTCAGTTGGCACAATACCACCAATCAGCACGAATATTTGGCTAAAATGACGACACTTGAAATCAACGTTGACGACCATAAAAAGTAAAAACCAATCCTGTGCGATAATTAGTGCTGATGATCTTACTGACAGGTTCGCGAACAGAATGCAAACGATGCAAACTAAGTCACATGTAACTTGTAAGCCAGCATGACGCATTTGATACAAATGCAAGGTTTTGGCGACGTCTGTCAAATCAGCAGCAACGAATATCAGCCTCTCAGCAGCATATTTCGGGGTCTTTCGATTTGGCTGAAAATCGGTATCCAGGGCCTCCTCGATGCGCTGATTCCGAAAATATGCCTCTTTGGGGTGGTATTTTGCACCGTTAACGAGTTAATGACCAATTAACATTTTAACGGGAAACGGCGGGGTCTTTCGATTTAGCTGAAAATCGGTGTACAGGGCCTCCTCGATGCGCTGATTCCGAAAATGTACCTTTTTGGGGTGGTATTTTGCACCGTAACCGAGTTAACATTTTAATAACATTAACATTTTAATGGGAAACGGCGGGTTCTTTCGATTTAGCTGAAAATTGGTATACAGGGCCTGTTTGATGCGCTGATTCCGAAAATGTACTTCTTTGAGGTAGTATTTTACACCGTTAACGAGTTAACGACCAATTAACATTTTAACGGGAAACGGCGGCGTCTTTCGATTTGGCTGAAAATCGGTATACAGGGCCTCCTCGATGCGCTGATTCCGAAAATGTACCTCTTTGTGGTGGTATTTTGCACCGTTAACGAGTTAACGACCAATTAACATTTTAATGGGAAACGGCGGGGTCTTTCGATTTAGCTGAAAATCGGTATACAGGACCTCCTCGATGCGCTGATTCCGAAAATGTGCCTCTTTGGGGTGGTATTTTGCACCGTTAACGAGTAAACGGCCAATCAACATTTTAACGGGAAACGACGGGGTCTTTCGATTTGGCTGAAAATCGGTGTACAGGGCCTCCTCGATGCGCTTATTCCGAAAATGTACCTCTTTGGGGTGGTATTTTGCACCGTTAACGAATTAACGGCCAACTAACATTTTAACGGTAAACGGCGGGGTCTTTCGATTTAGCTGAAAATCGGTGTACGTTCAGTGTCTCAGGGGCAGACAAACAAGCCGCTATGTGTTCCTAGCCATCGTGGCTGTGAAGAGTATGCGTTTTGTTTACGATTCGCCAAACAATGCATAATTATACATTTGCTCGTTGAAAAAAAGAAGATCATCTAGTTTATTGAAGTATTCGGTGATATGAAAAGGCTGTGGCATTTATTATTTAGTTTCCTCAGGTTGAGATAATTTAGATCCAGTGTTATGTTCCTTTGCGGCATTGTGTTCGGTATGTTGTCCTCGTTTGCAAAATATCTCATGTCTGATCCGTCACTATTCCGGTTTATACTACCCGTTTCCGTAATAGACGTATTCCAGACGACAGTGGCATTAATATACAAAGATGGACTCGTTTTAAGTTTTTTAGTCTAAAAATAACGTATTCCTGTTTAGGTCTTCGTTGTCAATTGCCACGAGTGGCTTAAATTGTTACTCGTAGGGAAAGAGCCCTGCTCCAATACTGAGTAATGTTTGTGTCAAATGTGGAAAGAAACAAGTATTCATAGGGACTGTGATTTTGGGCGTTTACCTACCGTTTCCGAATCGCCACGACCAGTACCTAGCGGCGGAACACCCTCAATTAAGGGGGGCACTGTCGACTTTTGATCCCATTCTTTCCATGCAACGCCCATAGGGCTAATGTTAAAATGCTAAAATCAAAGGGGGCACGGTTCCCCGATGCCCTCCCCGTTCCGCCGCCTATGGCCACGACCATGGTGGCGACTGGCGATACCCGAGTACCTACAACCAGGCACATAGCCAATGGAGGGACGACAGGGTCAGCCGTCTCTCCCTGGAGATGGACCACTTTTATTTTTTATTTATTTTTTTTTTGTAAATGAAAATGTGGGCCCCTCCCGAAAAATAGTGGGCCGAATCCGGGGACTTTTCGGGTTTTGGTGGGGGTATACCCTGGGCTCCGGCAAACTACAACCCCAATGAAAAACAAAAAGTTCCACCTCTGGTTGGGCACGCCACCAAACCCAATCATCATCATCAGAGCTGTTGCGCCACACCCCTCTCTGTTCTGTCTGTTACAGTTGAACTGCCAGCGGATCCCCTCTCACTGTTCTGTGGTTCGTTTCAGTACAACTGCCAGCGGATCCCCTCTCACTGATATGCTGTTCGTTCCAGTACAACTGCCAGCGGATCCCCTCTCACTGTTCTGCTGTTCGTTCCAGTACAACTGCCAGCGGATCCCCTCTCACTGTTGTGCTGTTCGTTCCAGTACAACTGCCAGCGGATCCCCTCTCACTGTTGTGCTGTTCGTTCCAGTACAACTGCCAGCGGATTCCCTCTCACTGTTGTGCTGTTCGTTCCAGTACAACTGCCAGCGGATTCCCTCTCACTGTTCTGCTGTTCGTTCCAGTACAACTGCCAGCGAATCCCCTCTCACTGCTATGCTGTTCGTTCCAGTACAACTGCCAGCGGATCCCCTCTCACTGCTATGCTGTTCGTTCCAGTACAACTGCCAGCGGATCCCCTCTCACTGTTCTGCTGTTCGTTCCAGTACAACTGCCAGCGGATTCCCTCTCACTGTTCTGCTGTTCGTTCCAGTACAACTGCCAGCGGATCCCCTCTCACTGTTATGCTGTTCGTTCCAGTACAACTGCCAGCGGATCCCCTCTCACTATTATGCTGTTCGTTCCAGTACAACTGCCAGCGGATCCCCTCTCACTGTTATGCTGTTCGTTCCAGTACAACTGCCAGCGGATCCCCTCTCACTGTTGTGCTGTTCGTTCCAGTACAACTGCCAGCGGATCCCCTCTCACTGTTGTGCTGTTCGTTCCAGTACAACTGCCAGCGGATCCCCTCTCACTGTTATGCTGTTCGTTCCAGTACAACTGCCAGCGGATCCCCTCTCACTGTTGTGCTGTTCGTTCCAGTACAACTGCCAGCGGATCACCTCTCACTGTTCTGCTGTTCGTTCCATTACAACTGCCAGCGGATCCCCTCTCACTGTTCTGCTGTTTGTTCCAGTACAACTGCCAGCGGATCCCCTCTCACTGTTCTGCTGTTCGTTCCAGTACAACTGCCAGCGGATCCCCTCTCACTGATATGCTGTTCGTTCCGGTACAACTGCCAGCGGATCCCCTCTCACTGATATGCTGTTCGTTCCAGTACAACTGCCAGCGGATCCCCTCTCACTGATATGCTGTTCGTTCCAGTACAACTGCCAGCGGATCATCCCGCTGGAGGAGGTAAAGCTGGAGTCGCTCGAGGACGACGCGCAGTACAAGAACGGCTGGCTGGTGCGCACGCGCACCAAGTCGTTCGCCGTGTACGCCGCCACCGCCGCCGAGAAGGCAGAGTGGATGGCGCACATCAACAAATGCGTCGACGACCTGCTCAAAAAGAGTGAGTGTGCACTCAGCGCTATGTTTGAACTCAAATGTTGATTTATTGTTTGAAAATCGGACACACTGTGAATTGTCATTATTAGCCGAATGGCCTTGGCTTTGCCACTGAGCTTTGTGTTCCGCCTTCAGCTCCGGTTATTGTGGCTGAGGGGAATCTAGCGCTGACCTGGTCCATGGCATTGTTGTCTCGGCCAGATGATAGTCCCTGCTGACGGTAGAAAGGCTCGGATTGTGCTGCGTTGAACCGTGACGGCAGTCTGGCTGCCGAGCTGCTCCGGCAATCAGGCAGCTCACCACACACAAAAACTTATCTCACGGGAGGCCGGTCAACCGAATCAACCAGACGGCAGTCTGGCTGTCTGCGTCATAAATCAGTGCGGGAGGAACAATTGTCCAGGGGTAGTTCTCGAAAATGAACATGACATTGATATGCACGGTAAAAAAAAAACATGAACATGGATTACATAAACTTCCTGGCTGCTCATGCTATTTATTATGTTGGTCATACGCTAGTTAGTTGGAATTTAGGTAGGCTGCCGCTGAAGCTCATATACACCTTTTTGCACTACAAATCGGCATCTGGTCATTCAATTTCGACACTTTGCATTCAATATCGACAGAGCTACCTCCATTTAGACATACCTCACACATTTCGAATTATTTCATCAATTTAAAAAAGCACCGGTTCATATTCGATCTGTTGCGTCGAATTTCGACGGGGGCATTGAATTTCGACAATGGTCAGCTGTAAATGAAGAACTGCATTTGACTTTGACATTTTACAATCAATTTAGACAATGGTTGTTTGGCTTTTTTATAGATTTACTTTAAATTTATGATAAAACTGTCTTATCAAGTGAAAGCTATGACGCATTTTCATGGATATGATGTAAGATGTAAGAGTAAGAGAGATGATGATGTAAGTGATGTAAGAGTGCCCCTCCCCCGCTCCTCAGCCGGTGGGCTCTGCCGCCGCTGACTTTGGGGCTGACTGGTGGCCGCTGTTGAGCTGTTGCCGTCCGCCGTCGCGCTGCTGTCGTGGTCCGGGCCGTGGGCCGCCCGCGGCGGTGCTCGTTGTCGGCCGCTGATTTGCTGCCCCGGGGCGGCCCCGACCCGGCGTTGGGTGGGGCGCCTCGTAAGCGCGTTAGCAGCATTCAAGGACCCGTAATTGACATTCGACGGACCCGATGCAATTGAACACGGCACCGCGTATGTATGTACAGCCGCTCCAGAGGTAGCCCGGGACGGGCGCTTTTGTCGGAGCTACTATGAACGCGTGCAATGGGTGACCATCAGCACGCAACAACGAAGCATCATAAGGATTCAGATGGATAAGGATGCAGATGGAGTACGGATGAATTTACCGGCCGTGCTGTAGGCAAATTTTATTTACACCTTTTTTCAATCCGAATCGGCATCCGTTCATTCAATTACGGCAGCGGGCACCTTATCTCGACAGGCACTCCAACAACTCGACACTGGAGCACTTATTTCGACACTTTTCACGGATTTAGACTAGCATCTGTTGATACTTGACCAGGGTCATTGAACAACGGCAGGGGCATTTAATATCGACAAAGGGCATTATTTTTTGTCATACTGCATTTTACGTCGGCAGCTTGCAGCCAAGCTAGACAATGGTCAATTTATCTCATCAGTGAATTAAGCAACTCTCATCTTTTCGGAAAGGCATTCTAAGAATGTGCGTTAAAATGTTCCACAGTACTGTAAAGAGACACTCAATATGGGCGTTTGGTTGCTAAGTAACCACACCTTTTTCAATCCGAAGCGGCAACCGTTCATTGGAATACGGCAAGGGGCACCTAATTTCGTCAGTCGCTCTGGAACCTTAACACCGGTTCGTCCCTAACATCACCCGCTTCCGGCACACAAGCTGACCTCATTCGAGGTCACCATCCTTGCATCACTCTGTGACAATGTGGAAGCACTGGCGAATCCAAAGGGCGACGGGGGTCATTCGGGGCCACGCTTCTAGCGAATCCAAAGGTTGACGGGGGTCATTCGGGGCCTCGCTCTTTTCAATGCATCTAAAGTTGACAATGTTTCAGCCGTATTTCTTGCATGAAAAACAAAAATATTGATTTTTTTTCCATTTGTGTCGATCTGTCGACACATTGTGAGTGACGCTGACCGCCAGCGCGGATGGTTCAGGTCTGCCGAGATGGGAATGGGCATGTCACCGGAGAGCGGCAACAATGTTTGCAGGACGGTGGTGGTGGTCAGTCATGGTCAACTGTATTTCTGGACAAAAAAAAAACTGCCCTCTGGAAAGGTGGAGACCCGCTACGGGCTGACCCATCGATCGCTTTGGCTGCAAATCCGTAGCGGGACAGTTTTATACCAGCGCCTTGTCAGCCGCCGCAGCTCACTGCTCACGTACTGGTAGACTCACCCAAATGCTTCCTCCGCATGATCCTCTCACCTCATGACTCTGACATGGCTTGCTAGCCTACTCAAACTCCATTGACAGAAAAAAACGTTTAGACCTTAAAACCACGGCCTTGGCGTATTTTGTGTTCCATTTATCCAAGGGAAGTCTAAGAAAAGGAAAAATGCTATAAATTCTATTGGGAAGCATTGAAAACGCATTAATGTAAAAAATATGGTTTTAAATTTGTTCGATTTAACTTGTTATACCGCCAACGAAACTGCATGACCATTGCCATTGTAAAATGAAATTTGCCTTTTTCCAATGCCCGATGCCACAGTCCTATGCCGTGTGCCGAAATCCATTGGCCAATGTCGAAAGCACGCTCATTGTCGACATTAAATGCCCCATGTCACGCTGCTGCACTATGCCGAGTTTGAGGCGTGGTTTGTCGAAAGCGCACTCCAGCTGACGTTCCTAATGCAGATCTGCCGAAACTAACTGACCAGATGCCGATTCGGATCGAAAAAAGGTGTACATAAGGTTCTGAACGCCATGATTGGGAGCGACTGGGACGACCAGCATCCAGCAGGTCATTTTTCTTTATTTTTCAAAAACTGCTCAATCAACGATTTTTAAATAAGCAATGTCTAAATCAAATGAGTGATGTCGATTTTGATTGTAAAATGGCGAGATTGAATGTCTCGTGTCTAAGTCCATGTCTAACGTCTATATACGTAAGGCCTTGTCTAAATTGAATGCCCCTTGCCGAAATGATGACTGATGTCGATGTGGTGTGCCCGATGTCAAAGTAGAGCCCATATGACGAAACAAAATGCCCCTATTCGAAGCAAATGAGAGATCGCTAAAATTGAATGCAATTCGCCGAAATTGAATGAAAAGATGCCTATTTTGAGTGCCAAAAGGTGTATTTTCATGCAAGGCATGCTGCAAAGTGTATCGATTTCAGCCATATACAGAGAGACTTGTGCTGTCTGGATGTCTGCGTCATGACCTTTGTGTTGTGAGTATAGGGTGCACAGCGAGTTAGTATTAGGGCGGGTCGATGGAAAAAGTTTCCAAGTGAAGAGCGATTTTCCTACGGGCTGATCCATAAAACGGTTAAAACATATTTTTTGCGAATTTTTGAAAAGGAACTGGGCGCGCCGTCAACGGTTTTTCGAGACCACTTTTGCTAATTTTTCTCGTTGTTTGCAAAATGTAGTGGGAATAATTCGAGAAAGGTACTATATTTACAACTTTCCTAGTTCTACATGCTTACCCCCACCTCTTCACAAAGTTTGGAAACCCCAGTGGCAGAATCGTGCTCAGAATAGCGATTAGCATCGGCGCTCTGAGCGCAACGAAACCAGCGCCATCTATTGAGCGAGTTTGGCATAACATTGATTTTGACGGCTTTCCGACCGTTAAAAGCTGACGCAGCCGCTGCCACGTCGGGTATATGGTGTTCTTTGGTGTCCTAGGTGTCTGGTGTTCCTTATTTGACACTAGGTGAGTTGTACCCATTCGATCCGAAATACTTCAGGAATCATAAATTGCTCCGGAAGCTATACCTATAGTGATTTCGCCAAGAAAACAGCGAGATGCTTAACTTTGATACCTATATGTTTATCAGTTAAATTAAGTTTTGCAGACAGATAACATCAGTCCAAACCGTATGTTCATTTTTGAATGCAATGTAGCCAGCCACCTAACCGTCCTAGGACAGAAAATCACACTTCGATAATTGATTTAAACGCCGGCATGAGAGCGTTGCATTGCGTCGTGATGGCACACGTGATGTAACCGAGACGTGCTCTCTTAATAAAAGCAACGTATGCTGCCCAAGTTAGGAACCGGACGGCTCGCTCCACTGCCTGAGTAGTGAGTATGGGTAGGTATGCACCGGATCGAAATTAATTTGTTAAGCAGCGGGTCGAAGGTCGCCCTCTTCCAGCGAGATTGCTACTGGTGACTCTGTAACGCGTTCTTTGGACCGATCTATGAGCTGCATGTAGTGCATGACTTGTTTATTGCAAAATGCTGATAGAATCGCATATCTTTATGTCTCCTGCCTCATTCGCTTCCTATACTTTTTTGCCATAAGTGTCTCGAGTCTTTTTATCACCATTCCTTAGTTCAGCAAGCATCGCAGTGTATGCACTGTTTGCTGGCTGTCTGTATCGGCCAGTACAGCCCAAAAAAGTTTCCTATAGTGAGCCCGGTACTTATTCCTGTCGATCACTGGGCGAATAACACAGACCGGTGAGCTGAGAGGTCTCGCTATAGCTGGATGCTTTGGAGTAATCCGTCTCTGCAATGTTTACTCCGTAATTTCGGACCACATTGGGACATAGTGAACAACATTGAACTCGGTGATAGTTCGAAGCTGGTCAATATATGTTGTATGATGGGCGATCGCGACGGAATACGTAACTTGCAAGCTGCCAACGTAAGCCATTTTGCCAAATTCAAGGGCTCAAGCTTCCTTACTGACAGCTACCTCAGGATTTGTCAAGAGCGTGACGCCTGCTTCCGGGCTGTTCGGAAGTGTTCTCTGATCCTGGTCTGCATGGCGTTGCCCGAAACGGCACGAACGGTTCCTGCTCGATGCACAGGCACTCTTGGTAAATGGTCCACTGATCGGCGCAGCTTTAGTCCAGTGGCTTTTCTACAAGTCTTGTAAACTTGTTTAATAGTTTGGCCCTTGTCTGATTTTGGTGTAAAATAGAATAAGCATTAACTACCGGGCTCATTTACTGAAGCAATATGCTCGTCCAACAGGCTCGTCATAGCCGATGATACAGCACGGCTATCCTATTTATCATGATAAACGACGCATCCTTATGCACGTAAAATGCAGAAGGGCATTTCCTTTGTAATCACTTGCCTATCTGAGAACAGAATGTGAAGTGTCACCGAGGACCACCACGCGGCATTAGTTCCGTTTCGACATGGAGGCTCCCTTCCACTAACTGCAACAATGTCACATGATTGGGATCACAACTTGCGTCGGCGACCACTCAGCAGCTACTACCGCGGTTATTATGAGGTCAGTTTCCCTCAAAGCTCGATGCTCCACTGCTTGTTGCGGTGCCCCAGCCCCAATAGGTCATCAAAATAGGATCTGATGGTCCGATGAGAACGCGCGACTCGGGCAGTGATATGATACGCGGATCGCCGATCAGCAGGATACCTCGCAACTCATCCTCAGTCTGTTGTCAGATGAAGCCGGGCTAAGTTGACGAGGCTAACTTAGTACTTAGTTATCCTGCAATTGAGCTGCTACTGTTCAGTTCTAACACTAAGTTTGCATTTCAAAAGAAAGGTTAAATTTACATGCAAGGAAATAATCGAAGCCAAAACTGAAAATAATGCTGCTGAAGTCTCAGCGCAGAATCAAATGACTAATAGGTCCAGCGGACACTATCGCACTTGGCGCATAATGGCTGTGCTAAAGTCAGGTGAACCCCCAATATGTACATTTCATGGCTACTTTAATTGCAATTGACAGCTTTCACGCTATATACGCTCCTGTGCCTTACGTTTTTTCATCAGCGTCCTAAGATCGCATCAGCAGAAAGCATATTGTCTCGGCCGACGCAAGGTTAACAGCCCTCTCAAGAGATGGCGCTGCGATCGAGTTGCGGAAAACCGATACAGAGAGCATGGCACCATGGCCACAGTTAAAGAGATACAGCCAACAGACTTGCAGAATAGGTTGAGGAATAGCTGAAGTTTCGAGGTATATATTTGAAAATAATAAATCATATGATATTTGTGCTCAAAACTCGCGTGCAGTGAAAATGTAGCGAAAAACCCGGTTGATTAATTGGCTGCGGCGACCCGCAACCTCAACCAAAAAAATTGAAAAAAATTCACACAGTCTTCTTGTGACATGCTCCGTAGGAATTTCGGTCTTCATTATGTGTCCTCGAAAAAAAGTTCTCGGATGACCCGCCCTAGTTAGTATGTATCTGACCTGACCTGACGTGTCTCCGGACAGGCGGTAAGCTGGGCGCCACTGACCACGCGGCCGTCTGGGTGCCAGACACCGAGGCCGGCAGCTGCATGCACTGCAAAAAGAGTCAGTTCACAATCATCAACCGGCGCCACCACTGCAGGTCAGTTATACAGGGGGAGGCTCACCGGCCATTGGTACCCAGATAACCTAACCTAACCAGACCTAACCGACCCCAATCACAATCATCAACCGGCGCCACCACTGCAGGTTATTTATACAGGGGGCGGCTCACCGACCACTGGTACCCAGCTAACCTAACCTAACCTAACCTAACCGGACATACCTACCCCAATCACAATCATCAACCGGCGCCACCACTGCAGGTCATTTATACAGGGGGCGGCTCACCGACCACTGGTACCCAGCTAACCTACCTGACCTAACCTAACCGGACATACCTACCCCAATCACAATCATCAACCGGGGCCACCACTGCAGGTCAGTTGGACAGAGGGCGGCTTACCGGTCACTGGTCGGGGCTCACGACTCAGTGCTGATCGCTGATATGGTGCGGAACGGTGATTTAGTATTACATCACCAAATATATAAGGTCTTCACATTGCTAATAGTAGGAATTTCGGCTAAAGGTGTAATAGGTCTCTCTGTGAAGTAGGGTGAAGTCGTATAAGAGTACGCACTTAGTGGATTTCTTGCTCTCATTTGTTTAATATTTGAAGGAAAGAAATCGCAAATAGGGAATATTAAAGTTCATTGAATTAGCCATCAACCCATGGGGCAACGATCCTTCAGCGTAAATGGAAGTGGTCTAAAACTGACATTTTCTGAACCGTTGCACTTGCGTACTCTTACCATATGGGGTGTGTAAGAGTACGCACGCCAGGCGGGTGGAGTACGCAAGCATATGAACACACACCTATGCAGCTTGCACTGTCCAAATGCTTAGCTTCAAACTCAGAAGGCATTTAAGTTAATTCTAGTATCCAAAAAGAAAAACATAAAATAAATCTTTCAAGTCTATAAATCAGGAAATAATCATGTCGTGTGTTTCTAAAAAAAATGCACAATCAAAAAGGAGAATAACTCGTATTTGGAAGAATTTCGGGTACGCATCTGCATCACAGTGCTCCATTGATGATATACCTACAAAACAAACGTCATTGAGCGATAGATTAATAATTATATATTTCTGTATATTCGATTTAATGTATAATTCTGCGTACTCTTACCCTCCTGAACAGTGCGTCCTCTTACCGTACATGCAATTCGCGCACAAAACAACCCCGAAACGTTGTGCAAAACTTCGCAAACAGAATATTGCACTGTACAGTATTTCCCCAGATAACCTCACAAGTTTCCCACAACAATCACGGAAATGTACCTCATCTCAACTGCCAAGTATCAAAATTATTGTACCATATCATAATAATATCATGACGCTCGAAAATAATATTCATCGCCTTAAACTCAACAGCGTCGCCGCTCAACGCCCACGTTCCGTTGGTGACATGCACGCACTGGCGGCTTCATGTCACTTCATGAACTCGACAAACCTGCGTTGCTAAGCAACCGAAACAGCTGATGCGTACTCTTATCGCCCGCGTACTCTTACCCGCCCTTACCCTAGCAGTACACGGGAAAGGAAGTACCGGTGAACCCAAGTCAAAAATCGGTGCGACCCTCTGTTACACTTCCTCCCCGACATCCTCATCCATCTCCCAGGTCAGGTGGCACGGTGACTCGAACTTAGCAGCCCTCCGTCGGGCGGGCGGGGTGGCACCGCCACGGCACCGTGGAGCTGCACTTTCAAGAGAGACTGTGCGACGCTGTCCGACCATTCCAATAATGCCGCCAGTGTGTGATCCCTGTAGGAGGTGCTGCGAGTGGTGCCTCAGTCTCAGTCTGTTTATCGCCCCTCCCCATATGTTAGGTGTATGACTCTGACCTGATCCGCCCCCTCTCCCCACAGAAAGTGCGGTAAGGTGGTGTGCGGTCCCTGTTCCAACAAGAAGTGGATTCTGCCCAGCCAGTCGTCCAAGCCACTACGTGTCTGCCTGACCTGCTACGACGAGCTGAGCCGAGCCAAGGCCGACGACAATCGGCTGGCCGGCGACACACGAGGTCAGTACGGCTGTACAATTGTACATGAGGTCATAGCGGTGACATTAGGTTAGTACTGAGACGCACGAGGTCAAGACGGCGGTACTGGGGGGTCGGAGCGGCTGACGAGGCCAGTGTGATGTATTTCTTATCCGCTTGATGTATTTTGAGGTTTTATGACTTGTGAGTTTGGTAGGGGTAAAAACTCGTATTTTTGCGTATTGTTCTTATCGAAGCCACTGTCCGTCTATCGTTAGCCGCACACCTCAGTCTGACGTCCACCCCTGTTTGTTGTGCGCTGTCTCGGTGTCTGGACTGACCGGTCGCTGGCCGTCCGTCCTCGTCTCGGCGTCTGTACCCGTCCCTCCGTGACACTGACCCTTCTGACCGACCGGTGCGCCGGCCGTAGACGGCTGTGACCGGCCGCCGCCGCACCTGGCGCCGCGGCCCGTGCCGCCGCCGGCCTCCGAGCACCGGCGCAGACCCACGCCGCTGGCCCAGGTCTCGCTGTGGTGGGACAGCTTCGGTGAGACGACGCGCTCCGTCCCGCCGCCCGCTAACGCTGGTGCCGGCGGGCGGGACTGTGGTGTGTGGGGTGTTTGAAGTTGGACGGCGTGGAGGACTGAACTGGTGTCTCTATTGCGTGGGTGGGTTATGTTTTGGAGGTTCTGAATCGGCATGCTGTCCGGATTTCATTGAGTTTGTGATGCGGTTGAATGTTGGTCTTTGTGTTGGTTCACTCCACTCCCACAGGGTGTCTCCACCCAAATAGTTTTTTTTCCTTTGTCACATCAAATATAATCGTGCCGGCGATAAAACGTATGTGTACACTTACGGCTTTTATCCCTTGTCATTTCCGAAATTTCGTTGGATATACGTTTATTTGCCGGAGATACGTCTTTCTTCCTTGGATGGAACGTGTTCTTAACAGACATACGTCTTTTTGCAAATTTAATTTCTGCTATAACTTTTTGCACAATTTACTTATAGCTTTTTTGATAGAAAATTCGGATGCAGGATGACTTCACGAATCGAATGATACCAATAACTCGATTTCGGTAAAAATGGCGCTTGCGGCTTTCTTCCTTTGGACGGCAGTATGGTCAGCAGTGGCGAGCATGGCCGATCTGCGGTGTGGTGTTGGAGATGCTGAATGATCTGTAACGGGCCTGAGTGGGGTTTGATCGAGTGGAAGTTTTTGAGGTTTGCGTCAGTCAGGAAGGGTTCGGAGTTCCTTTGAGTGCAAGGTTTTGAGGTTGGCGTGAGTGGAAAGGTTTACAGTGTGTCTGAGTGAAAGGGTTCTGGGGTTCTGGGTATGTAGCCGCCGGCTTTGCCAGGGGTCAGGTGTGAAGTGGTGAAGAGGGATAGAAGGAACCGGCGGAGAGCTGAGGATGGACCCAGGACTAGCATCATGAGGTTAGCGTCAGTCGCCTCTCAGCGCGGTGTGTGGGGTGATGGCGCCGGAGCCATTACACTGTGGACACCGTGTAGTGCTGAGGTACGAAGTGATTGGTAGTAGCGATATGTTAGGAACTTGCAATCGTCTTAATGCTCGAATTGTATGAGCTGCTGCGTTTCTTTCATCGTGTTCAGCATTAGTCGTAAGTACTGCAAGGCGTCACGACTCCGGGTCAGCAGCTGGGACCATGCGGCGCAGTATGTTTCAGACGCTGACGCCAGAGCCATCTGTGGTCTGTTGTGTTAACTTTTCAGTGTTACGGGGCAGCGAACTTCGGACTGATACCTCAGAGCCATCTATGAGCTGGAATGGCAATCTGGGAGCAGGCTGCGCAATGCTCGGCGTGTTTCAGGCGCCGACCATTTTAACCAGAGCTATCCGATCCCATGTCCAGCGAGTGGAACTGCATGTGTGCTGTTGTGATTGCGTCAGGGGAGTGATGGGGCGGAACACTTGCAGCACGATTCCATCGGAATACTCGATAGGCTCTTTCTAGGAGTTATCTTCTCTTCGACTGCAGTAGCAAGTGTCCCTGTGAGGTGCGTGGTCTTATTGGTGACTGTTTCTCTGCCATTACCGTCTGTGTATCCGTCTATGTATGTGTACCGTCTGTGTATCTGTAGGCTCAACCGCCCCCCAGTCATTCCTCCTCCGGCCGCATATCTCCGACGCACCAGAACTCTGTGGACTCGTCTTATGACCCTTTAACCCTTCCCCTTACGGCAGGCATCCGCGCCCCGACGCACCAGAACTCTATGGATTGGAATCGTCTTATGACCCTCTAACACCACCCCTCCTTTCCGCCGCAGATATCCGCACCCCGACGCACCAGAACTCTATGGATTGGAATCGTCTTATGACCCTCTAACTCCCCTCTTTTTCGCCGCAGATATCCGCGCCCCGACGCACCAGAACTCCGTGGACTCGTCATCGGAGGACTCGGAGGACGAGTTCTCGAACGGCAACAACCCTCCGGCCGTGGGCGGCGGCCCGCCTGATGAGCCCAACGTGGTGAGTGCGGGGACACGGCGCTGTAGGGGCGAGTTATCGGGGTTTGTCAGCAGGAGTCTTTGGCTTGTTAGTCACTGGCTGTTGGGGAATGCTCATTTCTCAGTCACTAAGAGGTTAATTTTGTCAATATGTTTATGTGTATTGTGTAGCATTGTGCTGGGGATGGGTGCTAGAAGTCGCATGCGACTTAATTGTAATGGCCTCCGCACTGATTTGGTTTGAAACTCGGATTCACGTCAAAAGTCTACCTTCTAAGTCTGCTAAGCACGCTCCTCTGTTCGTCGTTACAGACCCAGTTCTACCGCAAGTCCGCCACAGATGGCGGAGACGGACCGCCCTCGGAGCTGCCACCGGCCACGGAGGCCACCAACTGACCGAGCGCCGCGGCACGCGCGCACTCGTGCCTTCTCGAGACCGGTGGCGTCTGACGGCAAGAGTCGGATGTCGCCGCTGGAGTCTGACGTCACCGGAGGAGTCTGTCGTTGCCGATGAAGTCTGACGTCTGACTGCTGGAGTCTGACTCGCCGCTGGGACATCATTACATGAGGGACTCTCGGTGGCACCGGGAGTGATGAGGGCCTCCGAGTTAAATGTACCGTGTCGCCGTCCCGCGCACCGGCGGGAGTCGTTACTTCGTTAACCTGCCGGCGCGGGATGCTGTAATCGTTGAACTGAGATGTGTCTGTGCCGGCGGTCGCTGGCGCGCCGCGCCGTGGGGCTTCTTCCATGCATGGGGTCCGTGTTACTTGCCAGGCGCCGGGCGGGCGCCTATGCGGGCCGCGGCCGGCTCGGAGCCGGACGGCCGTATATTAGCGTGTAGCAGTCAGAGAGAGCCGGCGGTATTTGCAGTCGGGCGGGCCGGCCGCGCAGCACCAGGCGGTAGGCGCCGCCACCAAGTACGAAATACACTTCACCCTATTTTACAGTACGTCTTTGGGACGTTTCTGGCGAAAGGATGTGTGAAGATAATGATTGGCTAGAGCTTTCTAGTGAACTGAGTACACCGAGACGCATCAAGAGCATGAAGCTTTGCAATTCACGAGACATTCCTGCGACCTGAGTGATATATCTTTCGAAGTGTTGACGATCAAAGGGTAAGGCTTCCACGGGGCTAATGTGTGATTGTAAGAGCTGCTGACCAAGTCTCCAGGCTCCCCGGGACCTACCGAACGATGTGAATGAACTGAAACAATACAAACTTCGAACTTCCTTCTATTGCACGGCACCATCGCAAGCATAGATGTCCAATCACGATTAACACATCGTTCATTAACAGTCGCTAAAAAGTCGCTGAAACGCGTCCTAACAATCAAGGAGATCACAGTGTACCTAAAGCTCTGACCTGAGTCGCTGAGGGTCACACACCCTCCAATCACACGGGGTTCACACTTCACCAATCGTCAAACCAGGACGGCGCCGACGGCACCTTGGGCGCCGCTGCACTAGAGCTGCCGTCTGGCGGCCGCTGGCGGTACTTCATCCGTAGCAGCGCCGCGGGGGCCTTCAGCCGGTGGCGCTGCAGTAAGCTCGAGTACCGATTGATGACGGTAGATGGCAGTGATATGGATAGCTCGCCTACCAGCTTGAAGGTCTCTCGGGCCGACTGGACGTCCTCCATCAGACCTGAGGAAAGTGCACCGTTCCGTCAATGTCATCCTCAATAGTGAATTTCTCTCATCCACGCCTCAACCCACCGACATTCCGGGCTGCATTGCAACATTATCCCAGGCGGGAAGTTCCCCTCGGAGCACGCCCCGGTAGCCGGGTGCAGTGAGCGTCAGGAGGCTGGGTGGCCTATCCACTGGATGGGCTCAGCCCCGTGACTCGCCAGGGTGCCCGCCCAGACTAATGTCTCACCATTATTTCATCATTCTTCTGCTTTGGAATGGTTTCGTTAGAACAAAAGAGATGAACAAACAAAAAAACTGTCCCACCACTCACACTGGAAGTCGAGCAGCGCCCCAAACACCAGCGGGTAGAAGCGCGTCTCGCCCAGGCGCAGCATCAGCTCGAGCAGGCCGCGCAGCACGTCCTCTCGGCCGGTGAGCTGCGCCTCCTGGAGTGCGTGCAGCAGATAGGGCGCCAGGTGACGGCGGGCCGCCGGCTGGGCCAGCAGCAGCCGCCGGCCCGCCTCCTGGAAACTGTGCTGGTCGCTGAGTGTGCAGTGCTGCCAGGCGGAGAGCAGGGGGCCCGAGAGGCCGCGGGACATTAGCGCCACTGACGTACTCTGAGGGATAGAAGGTGCAGGTCAGAGGGACTCTAAGGGAGCAGGGATGCAAGTCAGAGTCAGAGATACTCGATAGGGTAGATCAGCGCCATTGACGTACTCCGACGGACAGGATACAGATCAGAGAGGCCCTGACAGGACAAAAAGGGTTACAAAGACTCTCTTAGGGTGCACAAGTGACACTTGGTAGTTGGTACTCTGACGGACAGGGAGCCATTGAATGACAGTAGCTGAGCTAATGAACCCTCTGCTGGATGTCAGTGGTAGGATTGAAGATAAAGCAGCTGATGCGGTGACCAGTACTCCCATCCTGCTGACCTGGATGTAAGGCAGGGCGTCCTCGGCTCCCTCGTGGGCGGCCAGGCAGCAGCAGACGGCGAACCGGCGCGCCATCTGTTGGCGGCGCACCGGCTCCGAGCGGTAGCGCAGCAGCAGGCCGCAGGCGGGCGCGAACAGCCGGCGGCGCCAGAGCAGCTCCAGCTGCAGGCCGCGCAGCCGCGCCGCCCGGCCGTAGTTGAGCGGGTACAGCCGGGCGGCCAGCCGGCGGGCGCGCTCGAACGCGGCCGGGTCGGCGCGCCGCGCCGCCTCCTCGGCCAGCAGCGCCAGCGTCGGGAACGGCGGCGGCGTGCCGGCGGCCGTCAGCGCGGCAGCGGCTCGCAGCGCGGCCGCCAGCCGACCCTCGCCGGCCAGTCGGCGCAGCTCGGCGGCCGCGGCGGCGTCCGCCACGCGCTGCCGCTCGGGCACGGCCGGCGGCGGCCGCGGCGCCGACAGCAGCGTGCAGCGCTCACACTCTGCGGCCAGGTCCGGGTCCCAGGCGATCGGCGGCCGGCCGCCCGCCGCCACCTCCCAGCAGGCGCCGTCACTGCCGCTGTCTGACACACTGGCGTCAGAACTATCCGGGTTCTCAGAGGAACAGATGGGCGCGTTGGGACTGGGGCCATCAAGCAGTGGGGGGTGGTCAGAGTGAGATACTAACTTCTGTTGTAACCTCTCCTGACTGGTGCGACTCCTGACAGATGTATCACACTTGGTGGTCCTCCTATGCACACAGTGTCCTTTCTCCTTGTGTGGAACTTGTCCTGGCACATCCCAAGAGTCTGTGACATTGACAGATACAGCAGTTTCATCTGGTTGTGCACAGTCATTCACAAAACCTGGGTTCCTTTCTTCATAATGGTTTTTCTGCAGAGGTAGCTTGTGTTTTGATGATACTCTGTGGATATAGCATGTTCCTCTTGATTTCAGGAATAGGCTTTGCACCAAATCCTGACAAACTCCATTCCATAAAGCTGCTTTTGCCATAGAGTTCATCTGAAAGAACCAGATGCATTTAATCTGAAACATGAAAGTACAAGAATTGAGAAGGTCCATGCTCAATTCAAAGTGAGCATTTATCAGTCCAGTCATGTGCAAAATCAATGCCCTTCTGTAAAATTGTTAGAGAGCTCAAGTTTATTCTTCAATAAAAAACAAAATTCGATTGGATAGTGTTTTGACTATGGTTTTCATAATATGCAACTTGCAAGTGCAACATGTCAAACTTAACTTACAAACTTAACTTGGTTGGCCCTGTAAAGACATTCATTGTGAATATAAAGGGTATACCAACTATGGAAATTTTGGAGATGAGGAAAGATCTTTTAATAATGGTACCTACCTTGACCTATTACATGTTACATTAACGCAACAGATAAGTCAGTCTTACCTATCATTATGTGCTATGTAGTTATAGGACCTAGCAGATGTTTCATGTTGGGTTGGATAGGTTTTAAATGGCTTCAATCTAGTTTTTATGCAATGTTTTAAATGAATAGGTATGCTAATTACCAGGAAACTATGGTCTATAACGGCAAAATTTGTAGCAGAGGGAATTTGAATTCTTGCCATTTGCTTTAATTTAAAACTACTGCTGAAAGTACCTCCCTCGCACAGACAAAGAGTCAGACACACAACTCACACAAGGGGCTCGACTAGAAAGGCTTCTAAAGGCCTCTGGTGGCTGACCAATCCCAATCCAAATTCCGTACTTTGTAAGTAAGCACCTGCACCATTTCTCAGCAATTCAGCCCATATGCTTGATTGAATGGGGTTCTTGCGGTCTTAATATCAACCATGGCATAGTCCTTTATCACATAAATACATATAGACATTAATTCGCCCAAGGCAGTATACACCGCCTGACGGTATATACTGCGGAATTCACATACACGAATTATTATTACGCGCAATTACAATCATGAATTCATTACATTCAATTACAAATTCGTGAATTATACACGAATTCGTCTGAGTGAGGTTATTAGGGAAATCCCACCAGCAAGTCAATATTACTCCGTAGGCGTTGAAATGAAGCACACACTGATTTCTAAGGCTAACCGATATCATGAATTACTCTACTTTTCAACCATAATATATCGCCTGACGAATGACGAATGAAAACAAAACGGTAAAAACAATTAAAATTAATTGAGAGTTTTTGCCACTGCAATTATGTAATGAATGTCCCACCACCGCCGAGAGCGCCGCAAATGTTGTTTACAAAATCAGCTGTTGCGGATGACACTATTCCGCTGTCAAATTTGTCATGACACTCTACGCAACAAAAAAATGAATGAACCGTCTCGACTTTAGCGAATTTTCTTTCTTACTATCAGTTTATTATCAGTTACCATCAGACCATCAGTTGTTTTATTATGGTATTCTCAGGAGTCAGGTGAACTTGGTGGCCCTTCCCCGTTGGTATCCCTGGAGTTTCACGCGCCGCTGGTGGGGGGGGGGGGGGGGGGCGAACGTTTCTTATACCTAGGTATTTTGGTGAACACCACCTTCCAATTACGGAGGCGCGCCCCGCGTTGGAGGGCGTCGAAGGCACCCTCCAATCACAAACGTGTTTACAGGAAAAATGTCGTTGGATGGCCGACCTCAGCCAGCGGGGCACCCCCGACTTTTGGTCCCATTCTTTCCATGTGGCGCCCATAGGGCTAATGTTAAAATGCCAAAATCAAAGGGGGGCACGGTGCCCCGGTGCCCTCCCTGTTCCGCCGCCTATGCCGAAGGAATATTGCTAACATGTCTGTGAGCATCGGGATCGAACATATTCGCTTCTTTTTTTCCTACATCAACAAAAATATTTTCACCATTATAGACCCATTGGATTCATAGTTGCCCGTCTTACCCCAAACTCAATGTCAGAAGTTCAGCACGTTTTTTCTCTGTGGACAATTTGATGCAGACAAAGCAAATCCGCGGTAAATGAACACTGCAGTGGCATATGAGTGTACAGTCGTGTACAGGTTGATGGTCCCCTACTCTTTATCCACCGGGTTCCTATGGCTCAGCATTGGCAGCAGCCGCCTGGTACCGGTAGGCTGTGCCGCATGACCCGAGAGTGAAGCGGCACAGCCTACCCACACTGTATGACACCGGCTCGGGTCGCCTCGTAGAGCGATTTGACCGGACGCTGCGCTACACCGGCTGGGGGGAGGGGGGGGGGGGTAAGGGTCAGGTCTGTCTATTTGGCTCGGCTCGGTGGATGAGGCGGGCTGGAGTGTGGTGTGGGGCGGGGGTGATGTGGGGAGGGAGTGAGCGGACCTGGGGCTGGGTGTGTGTGGTCACTTGTCGCATAGAACCGATCGTAATCCACCCTCCAAAAATTCGCTTTAGAGATATTCACAAAACCCAGGGGGTTCAAACACCCATCTCTCAAGTGGGGTGAGGAAGGACAGGTAAGGGTCCATACGGTCTCCTCATGAATTGCAGCAAAGAAAGAAAACAGACCCGTCACCAAATAATTTTTTTTTTCTGAAAAGTGGACTAATCGCATAGCCTCGGACACAGAAATAAACATCCAGCACGCGAAGCGTCTCGAACCGGGCCTCTCACTACCGGTCAGTTTGACAGTCTAGCACTCCTACGCTGAGCTACACCGGATGGTGGCCACGGCCGGGGCAAAGTCTGGCCGGGCGGGCGGCGGGGCCGGGAGGTCGGCAGCAAAGTCAATGAATGTTTTTGTGGTTTCGGGTGCCGGTCGCTCTAGCTTGGTGGAATGATGATGGATCATTGGCAAAACTTTCAACGTGGAGTCCCGGTTCGAGCCTCATCGGGGCACCGGCTACTTTTCCGAGTTAGGATCTGGTTTGATTTTATTTATTTTATTTATTTATTTATTTGTTGCACATCCTTCCATGCAGGCATAGTTATTTCAGGATGGCACATGATCAGGGAACCACTATGCACAATGCACATGCACTTTCCTGCTTACCAGTTTGGGGCGGAGCTGCCGACAAAGAACTTAAGCGACTGCAAAAAATGATTAACTTTGCGGCTCGTTTGGTGACCGGTTCGAAGCGCCGTGATCACATCACACCAGTGTGATGGTGTGATGTGATCACGATTTTAGTGGTTGCAAGCCATTTATACGGATTTATATCTACATGTCGATTGTCGATTGATTGATTGATTCATTCATTCGTTCGTTTAATACATGTCGACATTTAGCATACGAATTGACATCCAGGATCAATCCGATCAATCTACCATTTTCATAAGCGTATTGCCTAAATATCATGCATATATGTGGCACAAGACCTATGGTTGCCTCGATACCGTGCCAAATCACGTTTTGCACAATGCACAAGTAAATTATATTCTCTGGGTCTTCCGTGCATTGTGCTTAGCAAAAACAGGAATGCAATTGTTAAGCGACGCAAAATGTGCAATGCAGCAAGTGACCACACACACACGCCCAGCCCCCATGGTCCACCAACACGCCCCACACCACTCGCCAGCCCACGCCAACCACCGAGACGAGCCCCTCCCCCCGCGCTGGTCTGACGCGACAGCTGGTCTACAAAGCGCTCCACCCGGCGACCCGAGCCGATGTCAAACGGCGTGGGTAGACTGTGCCGCTTCACTCTCGGGTCATGCGGCACAGCCTACCGGTACCAGGCGGCTGCTGCCAATGCTGAGCCATAGGAACCCGGTGTATAAAGAGTGGGGGACCATCAACCTGTACACGACTGTACCACAAGTGATTGAGAGTTTTTAACGCTATAGTGCTGCACACAAAAGCTTGCACAATAGTAATACATTATGGATGTTTTCAATGAAATGAGTGTTTTAAAGAAATCAAAATAAAAGATTATCGACTGAACACAAATTCATCAGACTTCAATGGTGGTGTGTAGTGTCTTACCTACCCTGACCGTCTTACCCCACTTTCCCCCAAGATTACTTTACTAATAAACTTTCCCCTACCTAATACCTATTAAAATATAGAAAATATTATTTTTTATCAAAAGCTTTTATTTTCTTTGCTGATCGTTTTGAGCATAAAAAATCATAAGTCCATTGCAAAAAAAAAACTAATTCCGGGAAAGTGAAATACCTACCTAAGGGGAGAGCCCCGCAGTCACCGGCCTGCCCCCCCCCCCCCCCCGTCGGGACAAAAACGTCACCATTGGGGGGGGGGGGCGGCAAAAGCGAAAAGGTAAACGAATTTTTTACTGCGAGCTGTCAGTGCACATAAACAAATATGTAGGTAAACGAAACATTACATGGATGCAATGCATGGGCACATTGATA